CTTCAGCTTTGTATGCAGGGGGCAACCAGGGCTGGCAGCAGCTGCCCAGTGCTGCCTGAGAGCAGAGCGTGGTGGCGGTGGGCACTGCAGCACACTGTCCTTGCTGGGGTTACGGGGTCCTGCCCAAGGCAGCTGCCTTGCCCTTCCTTGGGCAGGGCTGGGGTTGGTAGTGCCCTCCCTGCCGGGCTGTGCGACAACTTCTGCGGGGCTGTCGGCTGCACAGCCACCCTTCTCCTGGGAAGGGTTCCCAGGAGATCGATGGGTGTTGTGTGTTGGATGGGGCTGCGTGAGCAGCTGGTCCTATTTTTGGCTGCATCTCTGATGGCATGGCAGGCAGTGCTTTTCCTGCGCACAGCTGGACTGAAACCCCGCATGGGTTAGCCCCTCACCCTGCACACCACCTGGTTTAGGAAGGTGTGGAAGTAGGGAAGGCTCCCAAGAGCTGGGACGGGGAGAGTAAGGGCCAGGCTTGGTGGCACCATCTGCAGTCAGGTGCAGGAGAGCCTTGGAGGCCCTGGTAGGTGCTGGAAGGTCCACCTGGGGTGGGGTTCGCTCTGCTGCCCAAAGAAGAGTTCTTGACCATCTCTTCTTGCCCTCCAACTTGGTGCGAGGCAGCCACTAGCATGGCAAACCTACTTCCAGAAAGCAGTTTTAAGTGAGAATGTTCCTTTTGGATTAGTTTTCAGGCAGATCATCAGGGCTGTGGTTTGTCTTGCTCTCAAGCACTGCAGCCCTTCCTGGCCACAGAAGGTGACTGGTTGGCAGTGAGATGAGTTTAAACCAATTACCAGCCTACAGGCTGAGAGGCACTGACTGTCCTGGCTTTTTGGGAGCATCTCCTGCAGTTTCGCACCCTACCAGCTGTTCTGCATGTGGCCCAGACCTTGCTAGCCTGTCACAGTAGCCCTGTGTTCATCTCGTGTCCTAGTGCAGGTGGCAGTGCCCTTCTGTGTGGGGACAGAGTGGGGCAGAAGGGGCACCGAGGGGTTGTCACTGCAAATAGGGGTTGGATGAGAACTGCTGGGTGGCCTGTGGTGGAACAATCGAGAGTGCAGGAGCTTGTCCTGTACTGGAGCTGGGCAGCTGACTTGGTTTCAGAGCGTGTGTGAAGCGTGCTGCTCGCCTGGAAATCCGTAGCTGCAAATCCTGCTTCCTTCCCACGTGCCTTCGGCCACCTTCGGGGCGGCCTTTCGCTCCGCTCCCGCAGTGGAGAGGCGTCTCGTGCGCTGGAGGGACCTGCAGCCTCAGGTCATTCCTCCCTGCGTGGGGGTCACTGTGCGTGGGTCACGGAAACAGCGCGGCGTTTCTGCAGCCTCCGCGAGCAGCGGGGCGGTGGGGCGGGCGGGGCGCGTGCTGCCCTGGCCACGCGGGCGGTCAGGAGCTGTGGCTCCTCAACAAGCTCCAGCAGCGCTCCAGAAGCGTGTTTTGCAGTGTGGTGAATAAATAGCAAGTGGATGTGGCAGTGGCCAACCAGGAGGAGCCGGCCCCTTGTTTGTCAGCCGGTGCCTGGCTGCAGCCAGCCTCTTCCTGCCGTGCTGTTTCCTCCTTCGCTGCTTCGCCATGCTCTTGGCGGAACTGCTGGGGAGATGCCAGCACCTCGTGGCATCGCCTGGCCTCTCTGCGGAGTGTGGCCGTGTTCGTAAGCTGTGAGTTGGGGCTTTTCTAGGGGCT